GTGGGAGCTGGCATTGAAGATGTACCTGCATTCGGGTCATAGATCTCTCTTGTTCTTGGTAGCTTTAGAATTATTAATTTGTTCATGTATATTTCAAACATATGGTGTATTTATTTCATACTAGATTTGTAAACTCTAAATCTTAGAAGCTCATGATTTATACTACCAGTCCTTGGGAAGTGTATAAAGGTTCTGATATTTTATCATTTATTTTTCTCATTAAATATCATTGAATTGGATTGTTGTTAATTAGCTTACCTAGTGGGTTGGGTTAGGTGCGTAGATCGGTACTAAAGAACTCCCAATATAAAAATATTGAAATGTACCTGAAGTTTACCTTTCTCTTAACTTGACACGTTAATATTGTTTGAGGCTCTCATTGATTCCATGTTTCTTTCTCATTGTACTACTACTCGTTCTATTGAGAGGGTGTTTAGTCTTACATACTAGTACTATTCCATATGTACTAACGTCCCTTTTTAGGGGGAGCTGCATCTTTAATGGATGCAGGTGGTTCCACGGCAGGCGACATCGATCAGTGATAGCAGTACACCCTATTCTCAGCTTACTAGGTGAGCCCCACTTCACCTCGGGGTCTTGTATCATTTGTTCCTTATGTATAGTGTTTTGAGGTATAGTCGGGGCCTTGTTGCCGGCACCATCATTCCACTCTTTTGTATCCATTAGAGGCTCTGTAGATCTAGTGTGGGTTGTATCTTGGTTTTGAAAAAGTCAAACTAGAAATGTTCTATTTGTGTCACATGTTCCGCTTCAAACTATGAATGTGTAATGTATTTTTGGGAACTATAAATGTAGTAACCAATGGTAATGGAATTGGTGTTGTTCATGAAATCCTCTCATTGTTTAATTAATGGAATACATCTTTACTCTATTCATGGGTAAGGTCGGATAGAAAGCATCTAGTAGGCTTGCTTAATTGAGTTATCTCAGTTGAGTACCGGTCGCGCTCCCTGAGGTCGAGGCGTGACATATATGACTTGTGGGGATGGTTGGTTTAGGTTTGGAAGGGTTCATGTTGAAATCAAAACACTCAGTTCCTTAATAGTGGCCTAAGATGGCCAAGTTTGACTTGAGTCAACATTTTGAGTAAACGACCTCAGAATCGGGATTTGATGGTTCCAATAGGTTTGTACGATGATTTTGGACTTAGGCGTGTGTTCGGATCTGGTTTCGGGTGATCCGGGAGCGTTTCGACGCTTAATGTTGAAAGTTGGTTCATTAAAGGTTTTCTAGTTCTTTAAATTTGGTTTGGAGTAGACTTTGGTGTTATCGAGGTTTGTTTGGGATTTCGAGCTCGGAAATAGTTCTGTATAGTGATTTATGACTTGTACGCAATATTTGGGGTGATTCCGAGTAGTCTAAGTATGATTCGGCGTGTTCGGAGCTAATTGAGATGTTTAAAGTTCATAAGTTGATTCAATTTGGTTTTGGGGTGCGATTCTTAGTTTTGATGTTATTTTATATGTTCCGAGGGTTCGAGTAGGTTCTTATTTTGGTTATGGACTTATTGTTGCATTTAGACGGGGTCCCGGGGGTGCATTTCGGACCGCCCGGAGCTAAGTCCAAAACTGTTGGTGTGCTGGTTCTGGTTTCCCTCTGTGCGAACGGTGAAGGACCTTCGCGTTTGCTATGAAGGATTTGAGGACTGGGTATTTTTGCTCTTCGCGTTCACGAAGCTTCAGTACCTATGGCCTTCGTGTTCGCGATGGCCTGGTCGCATTCGCGTAGAAGGGTTATAGGGCCAGGGGTCTGTGGGTCATTTCTCTTCGCATTCGCGATGCTTGGGCTGGTCTAGCCTTCGTGATCATGAGGACCCTGTCGCGTTCGCGAAGAAGAGTTTCAAGGCTTGGGCAGGCTTTGCCTTCGCGATCGCGAAGAAGGGGCAACTGGGCAGAGACTTTATTAAAATCGGGAGTTTGGCTATTTTGTTCATTTCTCTCATTTGTTGGACGATTTTAGAGTTTGTTGGAGAGGGTTTTTCACGTAGCTATTGAAGGTAAGTTATTTCTATACAGTGTAAGTTAAATATATAGATTATGGGTAGATTATAACATGAAAAAAGTGAATAGTTTTAGGAGTTTGCTGAAAAGCCTAGATTATGATAAAAATGAGATTAGACCACGAAAATGATTATAGAATTGGGTAAAAATTATATATTTGTGTTTGTGAGGTTATGGGTAACAATTATTTACAAAACTTTTCGGAATCTAAGCACGTGGGCCCGGAGGTGAATTTTAGGAATCTTCCAAATTAGGTTGGATAATTACTCTAATAGTTAAATTATGAACTTTTGAGCAATTATTTATTAGTTTGTACAACCTTTGGCTAGTTTCGGATTGTTTGGCACCGACTTGAGGCTTTTAGAGTGACTTGTGGACCGAAAAGTGGACTTGAAAACGAGATAAGTCTACTACCTAACCTTTTAAGAGAGAATTAACCCCATAGGTGTTTAAATTATTATTTGTTACTAATTGTGGGTGATACGTACGCACGAAGTGACGAGAGTCCGTGCGTAGCTGAATTTCATGTTATGTCCAGGTAGACATAGGCCTTTATTATGCTTTTACTTGCACTATTTGAACTCAACTTGCTAGTTTAATTGCTTGAATTAATAAGTAAAATTTGGTTAAAGATTATGTTAAATCGAACTTCATTACTTAGAGATTTGGCAGAATGTTTAATTATTGATGGAAATTTATATTCTTTTATGGGATTACCTTGGAGTTGTAAATACATAATTCACAATCCCAAGAGTTTCCCTATTCCTGTGAATCTGGTCGAACGCCTCGGCAATATTTTTATATATTATGGGATGCATCCATGGATCGGGTTGTATGACCTTGGTAGTGTATGTACATGATTTTTATGGATCGGGTTGTACGACCTCGGTATAACTCGTGTGTGTTGTCACTTGGAGTCCGATTATACTTGATATATCTCCCATGACTTAGGGAATTTATAAATACATGTTGGCCCTTACTTGTTGAGATTTGCATGTGATATTTGGAAATTTTAATTGTTATTTTGTTATAGGATCATTTAATTGCTGCCTCTTATTCCATTATTGATGTTGTATTTCATGTCTATTTAATATTCATGTACATTATGTATATTGCCCACTAGTAAGTGTCGATGTCGACCCCTCGTCACTACTTCTTCGAGGTTAGACTAGATACTTACTGGGTACACGTTATTTACGTACTCACGCTACACTTCTGCACATATTGTGCAGGTCCTGAGGCAGGTGCATCTGGAATTTGTCGAGGCACGCATCCGCATTAGCCAGAGGCCTAGTGGTGAGATGCTTCTCATGCTCCGTTCTGCAGCACCCGGAGCCTTCTCTTGTTATGTTTATATCATTTATGTCTATTCCATTTCAGACAGTAGTTCTTAGAGAGTTTTGTATATTCTACTAGATACTCGTGAACTTGTGACACCGGTTTTTGGAAATTCTAGTAGATACTCATAGGTTTCGATTATTTAATTCACTATCTTACTTTCAGGTTTAGTTTATGCTTTACATTACTACGCTCACTTACTATTTGTTTCCTTATTAAATAAAATCAAAGATTTTAAAAATATTAGAATGAGAAATTAAATGGATAGTTCACCGTTGGCTTGTCTAGCGGCGATGTTGGGCGCTATCACGAACTATGGTAAAATTAAGAGAAATAATAAACTTCTTCTGTCTGCTTACACCGACTTACATTTCTCTTTTTCTTTGAGACCAATGAATGGACAATTTTGCTATGTTATCCGTCAAACATCAAGATTCTAAAGTTCAAGATTTTTAATTATTTCAATGATTGTGAGACACTCAAAACAAACAAAAAGCTTAGCTTTTGTAGTCGCATAAGAAGAAAGGAGTATCAAGAATATCTAAGTTAAATTTTTTTAACTATTTCAAAGACTCTGAAACACCAAAACACACATAAACTTAGTTATTGTAGTAAAAAAGAAACAAAACTAAAGCTTATAACTTTGATACTAAAATTCTGAAGTAACACTACATCCCACAAAAATGAAGCTTTTGTGTAGTCGCATAAGAAGAAGAAAGGAGAATAAAAAATTTAAAGTACAAAACTTTAAACTACTTCAAATGGAACAATGGAAGTAGAGTCATTGTCTCCTATGATCGGTGAAGAGTTCAACATTCTATTAGAGGTGTTCCCTTTTTTTGATTTACAAACTTTTGCGTCAAATGGAAGAAGGCATAATAAATGAACCACACAAACTGAAGAGTCCTTTTATTCTTGCTTCATCACTTTTCTAGATCCAAAATGATGTTGTTATTACATAATAGAAATGGAGAGAGCTAACCTTCCTCTTGTTATACACATTTTGTAGTTAAAAAAAAAAGTTTCCATTCGTATACCGTTTTCCCCTTACACAAGGAACTAAAATTGGAAATCTATTTCAAACTCACATAAGGTACATAGCATTATCTGCAACTTCAACGAAATAGGAGGAGGATTCTTTAAAATCTACAATGAGTATAGAATAAAAAGCAGCTTCTGTAGTTTAGCATGCAGTTTCACATTCTAGAAAGAAAGGTTCAAAAAATGAGTAAACTATTGTATACAAATCTCTTTTTAAGCACAAATAACAGAAGTTATAACTAAATCTTGTATAAGCAGAAATATATAATATATAATGCATACCTTACAGTGACAGCAACTTCCAGATGCCCGTTACTAAAATATCCTCCGTTGGGCCGGAACATGTGTTCTATTTTACCAACATATGATAATGCACGATCCATTTAATTTCTTATCTTTCTTTCTCTTCTTTTTTCGCATTTGTTCCAAGCTTCTTTTTTTCTCTTGCATTTGTTCATTGTTGTAACCTTCCTATAACGTAGGGATTGTGTCCTTTCAAAATGTCGCCGTTACTTTTATTTAGTGTTGCAACTGTTACACTATTTTTGACGTGACTGTTAGTGTAATTAAGAGGCGACTGTTTAGGAGGTACCAGTTGGATTTATTAATAGAGGAAAAAATTGTTGAAAAAAAGATAAATAGCAATCCTCATCTATGCCACATCACTCCTTCATGCCCGATTGCTAACGAGCCTGTACAATTTGAAATTCTATAATACACTAGCAACAATGCTAGTATTTGTTAACTTCAATCCTACAGAGTTACAACAGGTCGGTCTACAATATGTCCTGTAAAATAGATGGCAAAATTGGAAAGGCATTTTCCTTGTGATACATGGCGTGGATCCTGCAGAGAGCAGAACCAGCTACTTTCCAGGCAAAACCACATTTTTCGATGCTGTATGTGATCCTGGCATTATCATATGTTACATGATATAATGCAAGGGCCTCGTTAAAGATGTCTTTGGTCTTTCTCGCACTTTGTTCAAACTCTGGAGCACCATAGAGCAGCTGCATTGCAAGAGATCAATAAAGCTTCACTTCATGTATTGACCACCATCTTTCTTCAGGAAAAACTAACCTCCTCCTTTTGATAAAGTAATAAGATTTCATTAAAGGAAGGGCAAAACATGCCCGTATACAGGAAAAACTAACCTTCTTGTACTTCTTTATAACTTCATTGCAAGCGGAATTTTTCACTTCACAGCCAGAGTTCATGGCCATTGTCATGTCCTTTTTGTACTCTTCATATCTTTCTCCCCACAATGCCATGCATTCGTCAGGGATTTCAACATCAAAACAAGGTAGTTTTGAGATCTCTACAGACAACAAAGAAGTAACACAATGATCACTCTAACTGCTTCGATGTTCAATTGAATCATCAACGTACGATTCAGCCGATCAATTTACTAGTTAGCTTGTGTTGCATGAAGCACAAAGAGAGAAACTATAAAATCTGGTGGAAAACATAAGTCCAGACATTACACATGCAAGAATGGAGCTATTTAAACTATAAAAACTGATTGGAATCATAAGCTGAAGTATTATGCATGCAACAATGGAGCTTTCACCTGTTATACACAAATCTTCATCTGGATATGAGTCGACATAATCATAAATCTGACCCAGAATAGAAGTTGAATGATAGCTGAAGGGGTTGCCTCTTTCCATATAGTGTGGGAACCTGTTTGCCTTCAGATCATGAGGGATGCTAACCTGTCTTGCCAGAAACAGGCAATGTGTTAGATAAAAACTCTGCACATGGTCAAAAGGAGCTTTTTTTTCCGAGCTGAAAAGGTTGAAGGCTAGAAAACTTTTTATATTCAAACTTGAACGTTTTGAGGTATCATAATAGAAGAGTTAGAGAATAAAATCAGCCACCGACAAAAAGGCAGATTCTCAAGTTAAACTAACCTTCTTCCCGCTTTTAGGTGCATCTAATGCATCATAGTAGATGTCAATCAGGTGAAGTATCTTCCCTTTCAAGCTATGCATCCCATCCACATCATCATCTCGCAACATAAGAAGACGATCCATAAATGCCAGCCAACTATCAGCTGCCACTGACATACTGGCACTAAAACAGTAGAAAGAGACTACATCAGGAACAAGGACAAAGAAACTACAAACAATTTTGAACAAGTAATATATGGACTTGTTAACTATGACTAGAAGTATCAGTAACAAGAATTGTTAGAATATTCAACTTCAGTCATGACAGAATATTTTGTTAAAGATGTAGCAATTGACAATAAGTTTTGCACATTCTGCAGGCCATCTAGAAGATAGTATTCTGGTGCTGTGCTTTCCTCCGTTCGCATTATGGACCACCTAGATTGACTCACTCCATCCTAAGGAATACACCTCAAAAACATGTCAGCTCGCCGGATCACAAAAACCACACCTTTTCCTGCTAAAGCATCCCTCTGAAGTGGATATCATGTTTAAAAGCTCTCAGCCAGCAATTACGGTGTTTAGATTGCTAAATTTTTGAATTGAACACCAGAACAAATGATATAGACTAGTAAGCATACCCTTTAGACTTTGCTCCCAGGAATTGCCTAAACAGCTCATATTCCAATTCATCAGCTGAAAATTCAGTTGGCTTTTTGCTGACTGCCTTAGGAGTTGAATGCATACGAGTCCATGGTTTACTTGCTCTATAAGAATCTACCAGCTGAAATTCAAAAATCAAATGTTGTACAACTGTATTCTTATAAAACAGGCAGTCATAAATTCTAGGAAAACAACCAATACCAGTCATGAAACAGATACAAGTACTCTCCCTTCTTTCCAGAAAGTAACTCTTGACAAACCAGAATTGAAAACCAACCTTACGGTTTATGGAAACCCAATACATGTCACCATCAAAGTCACCATTGGCGATCTCACTAGCAGCTGACCTTGGACCTTTAGTGGAGAAAAATATACCATACTTGGCATCGCCAACAATATCTACAAGCTCTTCCACATATCGTGCTTTCATCACATGTACATCCCCAAAGTGAAGACCAGGATTTCTATAGACCAAAACACGCCCTGAAACTTGACCACTATCTCTGCATTTGCAGTGCAAAATTGATAAAGACAACAGTAGCAGAGATTCTCCCCGTAAGATATAGAATACTAAATTAAAACATATTAGATCAGAATCTACAACCAGTCTTCATGTTTCAAAGCTTAAATTATCTTTGAAATAAGACTTTTGCTTAATGTAAGTTCAAAATAATGGTAAATGTCATTTTCAGCATCTCTCCTCAGTTATCATGGTTAAACTGAACAGGAACAAAGAATTTCAGTAGCTAAACATTATGGCGAAAGTATCTAAAAGGTGAAGAAGGCAGGACAGAGAAAGAACTAATGGACAGAAGCAACAAAACTAAAGCACATTGGTGAAATAAGTATTTATTTGCTCGTAACCATCATAATTTCCTCAGGCAAAGCCTTATCTATGTCAAGGAACAGTGGAGTCACCTCTTTGTTTGTTTTTTATAAATGTTTAGCCACCTATAGATTGCAAAAAGCCAATGCATTCCCTCGAAAATACAGATTCTCAAAATAATTTTTCATTTAATTTCTGCAGTTGGAAGGGGGGAGGGGGGGGAGCTCGTAGTTTCACTCTATGTCCAGACAAAGTTTGTAAAGCCGAAGGCCATGGCTTCAACTCCAAACAACCACTTCTCTGAATTGTAAACATCCTTACAGTTCCCATTGTAGGTATGTTTCATTATCTCTCATACAAAGAACATCAAAAACTTATAAAAGCTCAAGAAGCGTGTACAGATAATGATTCAAACATCAGTATACTTACAGAATAACACAAACTTCATTGTTTTCCAGTACACCAGTGGGGTCAGCTGTTCCCATAAGATAAAAGCTGTCACTTAGAGGAAGCTTTCCTCCTCGAAGTTTAGATCGTTCAATCTTCGCCAGCCTAGATAAGCGAGCATGGAGATGAGGTTCATTGAGAGGTACACCAGATGATATCAACCTTGCAGCTAAACAATCATCATCCATTTCTCTATAGTTGATAGCAACTATTTGAATAGTTAAAGAAATGACTCAGCAAAAAAGTTTCACAGATTAAATGAGAAAGAGAGAGTCAAAGAAATAGTTGGACACTGCTTCCTCCTACCTTTTTATGGCGGAGGGAGTATGATCATAAGACACGAGAAGACAGTAGGATATAAGTTCGCAGTATGGGTGATTCCGTGGATATGTTATAAGACTTGACAGAATTGAAAAAAAAAAAAGACAAATGCAATTGGAGCATCTTATTTTGCTATTACCTTTTAGTGCTGCCCGCTTCTTTAAGTACACTTGTTTCGTCTCTTCCAAAGCACTTCCCAAAATCTCCATAAAGAATTCATTCCCGACTCCTCCATAGCTCAGCAGAGAAATTAAATGCTTGGAGAGGTATGTCTTCCTCGGTCTATGACTTAAAGAGAGAAACTAAGTATTAGGGAGTGAAACGTATGTAAAAATGTCAGTCACTAGCAATGAGTAACTAACAAAAATTTCTCTAACTTTGATACACATCTCCTGATGCATCCAAAACTAACTGCAAGAGTCTGTAATTTTCATTCTTTGTTCCAGCAAACTACAAAACACAGAGAGCTAAGACCTAGTAGATCTGGAATCAACACTTACATCTAGGAGAAGAAACCTCTTTTATTGTTCACGAACATCCCCAACCCCATCTCCCTATCCCATAAAGAACACAAATAGCTGGAGTAATATAATTGAAGTTAGAATGTTCACCATGCAAGTATCTGTATACATATTTTATCCGTTCACTTTTCTTATTGGAAATGATACATCATCCCTGATCAAATCCGCATGACTCCATAAAGCTGTTATTATGACTTGATAAACTTGGTTTCATCTTAAAGGACACTTGGGAGTTCAAGATGTTTGCTGGGAACACTTTTATCATGATAAAACACTTCTTAATGTTTAGATACGTAAATAACATTAGATGTTTGTGTTGAGGTCTATCGGTAACAGCCTCTCTACCTCAAACGAGGTAAGGGTAAGGTTTGCGTAGACCCCACCCTCCCCAGATCTCACTTGTGGGATCACACTAGGTATGTTGTTGTTCATGTAAGTTGAGATTTACATTTAGCTAAGGTTTTTCCTCAAATTGCATAAACTCTACATGCTTGATAAAATGTCCAAATTTTTAATTTACATTTGGAGAGACAAGCGAGCGTACGTTATCCAAGATTTTACCTTAGGTGTATCTATGATACATTACTTTACTAACAACCTTCATGTTAGATTAGTTTGTAATTCAAAAACTGTATCTTATACTACTATTAATCATAGTGAAATTAAAAGCGCGCCTAAGCGCAAAAGCGAGGCGCACAAACACTTGGCCGCTCCGCATGACCTCAAGCGAAGCGCGTGTGTCAGAAGACCTTTACATTCCTTTTTTTAAAATTATAATAAGTTAGTGGTCACAGTTCCCTAGACCATATTTAAAGGCAAATAGCCTGGGTAATATGGAAAAGTTAATTAAGGGAGCAAATCAGATTTCTCAAAAAATTAAGAAAAGAGAAAATGATGGAATTATAAGAAGACCAGAGGAGTTGAAGGACTGCAAGAAAAAGACAATCGAACAACTGCAGCGGGACAAGCCTCTATCACAGGTCTTCTTCTCTTCTCTGTTTCTTTATCTCTTATACTTTTTGTATGCCTCTCTCTTCTATTCATTTTCTTCTTCTTTTACTCATTTGTAATAAGAGATACAGACAAAAGAATTCTCCATTAAAGATGAGTAGTTGACTGAGTTGTCTTTTTCTTGTGATTAAGTTTTTTGGTAAAGTGAATAAATTGGTAAAGTTAGAAAATAAATGGGTTTGGTGCTGAAATTTTATAGTTAGTCTTTTTTGTCTTTGTAGAAAATTTGTAGAATTAAATGGGACACTTGTCTTCGTTTGATGATTGATGTTGTCTAACTTTTATATAACTATCACTATATATGCAACATCTATAAACAGACTAAGAGAGGATAATAATAAAGACACAAATAGTGGACTCAACACTTTCTTAGAAGTCATGGCATAGTGGTGGACCCCAGTGGTGTTCACCTTTATATTCTTGTTGTATGTTGTATATCATTATTTACCAATTATAATTGCATGCAAAATGTCATAATATTAATTTATTTTATTTCAGAATTAAAATGGCAGGGGATCTGCCTACCTTATATTTTTGTTGTATATTATTATTTTAAAATTTTTGTTGTATATTATTATTTAAAAATAATAATAATTGCAAAATGCATTACATATTACTTTTTAATAAGTTTTCAGAATTATAAATGACAAAAGACTGTCCAACTTTGTGTTCTTGTTATGTATTAGTATTACTATTTAAAAATTATAATTGCTTGCAAGATGCATTATATATATTATTGTTTTTTCAGAATTAGAAATGGCACAGGACTTGTCCAAAGGCAATCGAAGGGATCCCGGCTGGAAATATAATCATTTGAAGGATCCTAATGACACTACAAGAGTCACATGCATTTTTTGTGGAAAAATAACCACGGGTGGAATTAATCGGGCAAAACAACATTTGATTGGGAACTTTAGGAATGCAGCAAAGTGTGCAGTATGCCCACAAGAGGTTAGAGAGGAATTGAAAAATTACATGGAGGAGAAAAAAATAAGAAAGGAAGTCTATACTAACGAATTTTCTGGACTTGATGAGTTTGATTATCAAGACGATGTTGGTGGAGAAGATGAAGTCCACGAGATCATTCATAAGAAAAGAGGTGGAGGAAGCTTTCCTAGTGGCTCTAGTAAGAAATTGGCCAAAGGAAAGGGACCCATGGATGTGTTTCTACAAAAGCAAGGAACACTTAGGCAAACAAATATCAAAGATTCATGTGATAAAGAAGCAAGAGCCATGACAATTCAAAAAGTTGCTCGCTTCTTTTACGATAATGGGATCCCATTCAATGTTGCTTGCTCAAAAAGTTTTAAGGAAGCAGTTGAGGCTATAGGAAGGTATGGTCCAAACTTGAAGCCTCCAAGCTACCACGAATTAAGGGTTCCGTTACTTAGGAAGGAGGTTGAGTTAACCAATGAGATTATAAACAAACATAGAGAAGAATGGTTGAAGTATAGATGTTCCATTATGGCGGATGGATGGTCAGATAGAAAACAAAGAACTTTGATAAATTTTTTGGTGAATTCTCCGCATGGAACAGTGTTTATGGAGTCAATAGATGCTTCCTCATTTGTTAAGACCGGAGAGAAACTATGTGAATTGCTTGATAGATATGTGGAGCGTGTTGGAGAGCATAATGTGGTTCAAGTTATAAGTGATAATGGTAGCAACTTTGTGTTGGCCGGTAAGAATTTATTGCTTTAAATGTTTAAGTTTTATGTTTTACTTTCTAATATCGATTCATTCAAGGTTCTGATTCCTAAATTTTAATATATCTATCAACCTTTTTTCTATAGCTGATTTCTAAATTTTAACATATCTATTTACTTCTTTTTCTATAGGTCAACTCTTACAGAAAAAAAGAAGACACATATACTGGACGCCATGTGCAGCCCACTGTATAGATCTTATGTTGGAAGACATAGGGAAGATTCCAAACATTAAGAAGGCCCTTCAAAGAGCAATTGCCCTTGTCGGTTTCATTTATGGGCACTCGGGAGTCTTAAATATGATGAGAGATTTCACAAAAAATAAAGAGTTGGTGAAATGTGGGATTACTCGATTTGCAACGAGTTTTCTGGCTTTGCAACGATTGCAGTGTCAAAAAACTAATTTGCGAGCAATATTTACATCTAACAAATGGGTGATGAGTAGATGGTCTAATTTACCAAAGGGAAAAAGTGTAGCTCATACCGTCTTGATGACAACATTCTGGAACCAGGTTGTGTATATTTTGAAAATAATGGGGCCTCTTGTTAAAGTGTTGCGATTAGCTGATAATGAGGAAAAACCTGCAATGGGGTATATTTATGAAGCTATGGATAGAGCTAAGGAGGCTATTGCAAAGGCATTTGACAGGAATATTGCAAAGTATAAAGATATCTTTAAGATTATTGATGAAAGATGGCAATGCCAATTGCATCATCCATTACATGCAGCTGGACATTATCTAAATCCAGAGTATTTCTATCAAAATTCAGCTATTGAAAATTGTAGAGAAGTAACAGATGGGTTGTACGCTTGTATTGAAAAATTGGTTCCAAACACTGAAGTACAAGACAAGATTATATCTGAGATACCACTGTACACTAAAGCTGAACAACAATTTGGCCTTCCAATTGCAAAAAGATCTAGAATGACAAGATCTCCTGGTAACTGAAAATATTAACCTTTAAATTCTCAATTATTAGTTTATATTTAAAATTTTACTTAATACTTGCATAGTTACATTAACTTAAAAATAACGATGGTCAACATAACACTTTTTACAGTTGAATGGTGGAATTTATATGGTAATTCAGCTCCTCATCTCCAAAAATTAGCCATTAGAATTTTGGGTTTAACGACTAGTGCTGCTGGGTGTGAGCGTATTTGAGCAGGTAAGTACTCTGTACTCGTAATGGTATACTTCTTATTTATTTTCTTTGCTTAGTTAATCAATTAGACTATATCACTAATGTTAGGATATTCCATGCAACAGATTCATACCACTGTTTTAAAAGGTGTTTCTGGGGCGAGCCTCGGGGCGAGGTGTACCAAAAACGCCCCGGGGTGATGGTGTGGGGCGAAAGTCTCAAGAGGCGTACGCTCCGCAATTCGGGGCGTTCGGGGCGTACGCCCGGGCGTTCAGGGCGCGTTTTTTTAGTAAGGAGTAAGCCCCAGAGACTTTTTCAAATTAAAACAAAATTTGTTGAATTAGTCATTCATATAATACCCAAATTCTCAAAAGTCAGTTTGGTAATTACTCAAAAGGTTTAAAAAGGAACTCAAAAGTATTAAATTTAAAAGTAAAAGACCTTTTTATTGATTTAAGCCCTAATTCATGGTTGTCCAATTTGTTATCTTGTCCGCCAGTCTGCTAATATCTCCCAAAAGCAACGAATATTTAATTTTTTTTACAAATACTAAGAGAACTACATTCTTCTTCATAGCAGCAAATTCAAAGTTCAAATTGCAGGCTAATCATCCTTTTTATTCCTCCATATAGAAAACTTTATTCTTTTAGACTCAAATTACTTGTGCTTGTAAGTAACGTATGATAGATTATTTTGATTAGTTTTTTGTGTGGATGGAGCACACATATATATAGTTTTCTTCAATTTTTATGCAATTTTACCTGTATATAAATATTTACTGTCATTATATTATTTTATAAAATATTAAAAATTAAATACCTATTGGGCTTACGCCCCGCTGAGGCTTATGTAAAACGCCTCGCCTTACGCTCACGCCTTTTAAAACACTGATTCATACAACAACAAAAAAAAAAACAGATTGGAGCATCAAAGATTGAATGACCTAGTGTATGTCAAGTATAATCGTGCTTTAAAAGCCCGTTATGACTTGCGGAGTGTTATTGATCCAATCTCATTGGATAACATTGATCATAGTAATGAGTGGCTAGTTGGGAAGATAGGTGTTAATGTGGAAGCAGAAGGTGAGTTGGTGTTTGGTGATGATAGCTTGACTTGGGGTGATGTTGCAAGAAAGTCGGGTAGTGAGAACGCTTTGACATACACAAGGCGACAAAAGAGACAGTCAGGAGATATTGCAGCCAATGCCTCAAGCTCCCGAGCTCCACGTATTGAGTTTGTTGACATAGAAGATGAGATTGTTTCTGATGAGTCAGGGGAAGAGGAGATTGGAGGCTATAGTTCTAGTGACACCAATGAGAATCACCCTATTGGGGAAGATTATATGGAGGAATATTATTTTAGTGATCAGAAGTGGAATTTAGAATGAGTTTATCTTTTCTTATTAAGACTTAAGTTGATGATTTGATGAAGTTTTACTTCATTATAAGCAATATATATTTATTATTATGTGCCTATTATGTTCTCTAAATATTAGATATATATATTTAAAAACTTCTTCATAGTGCGCTTTTTTTTAGTGAAGCCCACGTTTTAAGTGCGCTTTAAGCTTTAAGCTCCAACAGGGCTTTAGCGCTTTTTTGCGCTTTTCGCTTTTGACAACACTTCACACATACTCAGCTACTTCTACTCAAAGTCGTAAAACCTTTGCAGTTAACTTCGTGACCAGGAATCAATTCAATTCCAGTTTCACAATACTGCAAAGTTGTGACAGGTCGTGTCTTCGTGACACAAGCTTAACGCATTAAGAGGTGACAAGGCACCAGTGGCGAAGCTAGGAATTTCTCCAAGGGCGTTCAAATTTAAAAGAAGTGAAAAAGATTTCCGACAAAGGGTGTTCAATATGTTATATACCTCTAAAACGTAATATTTTACCTATGTACACAGTGCAATTTTTCGACGAAGGGTGGTAAGTTGACCACCCTTATGACCATGTGGCTTCGCCGCTGCAAGGCACCCTCATTTAATTCCACAAATTCTGAATAGCATAAGCTGAGATGCAAAATTTACTCTTTCCCAAATCCAGCGGGAAAAAGAAAAAGAATAAGAAAATATTTTTGGGGAAATAATGCAACCCCAGTTCTACATAACCTGCAATCTTTTTTCTTCCTGAAACAAGCTTACAGCATTAAGAGGCAACAAGATCATCATCCACCCTCAGAAAATAGCAACAACCGAGACTCAAAAGGTACTCTCTTTAAATCCAGGGAAAATTTAAAGAATAAAAAAAAAGACAAATAGAATTTTTAGCCAACGTTTTCTCTAATTTCAAGAGAGCGGGAATCATAGAGGAAAAAGTAAAAAGAACAACGAAGAAAGATAATCATAACGGGTTGCACCCCCTTGCGCCACTTTTCTTGAATTATTTTAATATCTAAATAACACACATACACACGCATACAAAAAGAAAACAAGAGAGAAGCATATTGAGAAAATTATTGAAGAGGAAAACATAAGACTATCACAGACAAGTTGAGGATTAACTTTGAGAGGTGTCATTAACAAGGGAACCGATTAACTTTGAGAGGTGTCATTAACAAGGGAACCGAGTTTGAATAAGAAATTCAAAGAAGGGAAGAAATGAAGATATCACATTAATGCCGAATGGAGGATTTTATTTCATAAAAAGAGGGATATGCTAATCTCCTCTTGGGTAAATTTAACAGTAATCAGTGACATACCAAAAGATAACAAATTATTTCATTTTCCATTGGCAAAATATATCCTCTGAAACAGCCTCGAAGCAAACATTTTACTCAATTTACACAATTGAATATCGGTGCACGGGAGATAAAGAAGGTACCTGATTGCAACTACCTCCAATGAGTTAAAAGTTGGTAGAGCTGAAATTGTTGGGTCTGTCTCAACCTTCACCATTGAGGGTCGAATCTGAATTTTTCGAGATCCAATCTAAGAGAGTGATGAAAAAGTGAGGAAATTTGTGAAAGACTAAATAGCAACACAAAAACCAAACAAACAAATGGGACCTGGAAAGTTTATATTAGCTGAAACATTTTAGTGCAAACGCAAAGAATACAATGAATATTTGAGAAAGAACACAATGAATATTGTAATAACTGGGTAAAGACAATTGCAGTTGAAAATGTATGAGCCAAATGTGATTCTCCATTAAAACAAGGTAAAATTGGACAATCCTTATAAACAGAAAAAGGTAAATTTGGAAAAATTAATAAGGATCTACTGGACGAAGAAATAAAATTTGGACAATCCTTATCTAGTTCGTAATGCGGTAGCTTCTCTAAAAGTTTTCTAATAGTGCTGGAAAAGTTTCTAGCTAAAGGATCTACTGGACGAAGAATTAATAAGGTCTAATTTGGAATGCAGTAGCTTCTATAGAAGTGTTTTAACTAGTGTCAAAGACTACTTTTTAAAAGCCTTATGTAAGTACTTATACAAAAGCACTCTGTTTGAAAGCACTACCTGAAAACTTCAAACTACAATGCTAAATCTATTAATTAGCCAGCAAAGTGATCCGCAAAGAATCAACTGCATGTGTATGGTACAGTAACCTTTAAAAGCATTTCCGTTGCACATAACTAACTTTAAATAAAAGTTTTATTGTTTAATTGACAGGGAACAAACATTTTTTGAAATGGTGCCCAACTTTTAGGCCTTAAAGTAATTTGAAGAGCTCCTAATTTGGTCCCCGTCAAAAGTGCTTTTCTTACCACAAACTTTACGAACTAAAATCAATTTAGAACAGTTTTACCAAACACTTGAAGAAGTGCGACATCATGCTAAAAGCACTTATGTCTTTAGCATAACACACTCCCAAATAGGCCTTCGTAATGAAATTAAATGGTGAAAGTTTTAAATCATCTATTCTGATTAATGTAGAAGGTACTCAGATAAACACATAGTTAAAGTAAAAAGCAAGGGTTTCAAATAAAAAAGCATAAACAACATAATAGATGTCAAATACATCACATAGTCCAACCATTCAAACAACAAAATATAAGCCTATGTGGCTAATTATCAACTCATATTCACTTTTTCATAGATTATCACATGTTTCAATAATTAAAAAAATGGTACTCTTCCATGACAAGATTTTTCGAGTTTTTGATGGTAAACCAATTAGGCAATTATAGAATAGAAAGTTTCTATGTTATCCTTTCAATAAAATACTACTCTTAAGAGATGATGCCAAGTTTTAAGCTAAGGCAACCTCTCCATAGAACTTCAGGGGCATTTTTCTTGTGTAAATGTCAAATTTTAAGCTAAGGCAACCTCTCCATAGAACTTTCAGGGGCATTTTTTTTTTGTATAATTCTTTCCTTTTTTTAGATTGCTTTTTAGAGTTGGAAATTAGATTGAATTTGATATGCTTAGGAGATCAGAATCTAAATAAAAAAGAGCTAGTAATTCGATCAGGTTCTCTTCAGGATTCATCTAACAAATGAACGCTCAGGGGTACATGGGAATGCGCATATGTCAGATATCCTTTGTTCGTTTGCTGCATAATCTAGGACTTATGTTATATGTCAAAGCTAAAGAGAACAAATGATCAGACACAAGACTAAACAAATGGCATATCTTAACTGACAGATGGAGAAATACCTTTCTATTAACAAGAAAAGTTCCCTTGACAGCACAACCATTTTTAAAAAGGCGGCACTGCATCAACAAAGGCTTGGAGAAAGAACAATGAAATAGTTAGTGAAGCTTATTGAGGAAAATCAATTATAAATTACTCTTTTATTATGATTAGTCAAGTATAAAGTATTCTAAGATAAGTTACCGGTTCCTTATTCAGAGAACCATTTCCTCTTCTTTCCGCAATCATGTCTTCAAGGTCAACAATATCAACAAAATTCTGTAAGATAAAGAATACATGATTAAAGGAGATATACCGACCCAAGAATAAACAAATATCAGCAAAGGAAAATGATGATGCACAAACCCTAAGAGCTTTTTACACAGATGGTCCCTCAAGTATAAGGATTGGTCTAATTTCGTCTTTCTCATATAACATTGAACAGATTTTGTCCTTTAAGTTTACGAAATGGGAATACTTTTGGTCTAACTTGACGGAGCTCTAATAGATCTCAAAAACTAACTGAATTACTCACTTACGATCTCTTGATACTGAGGTTGTTCATTTTCATCCTTCTTATGTAAAACTGAACAAATGCAATCCTTTGAGTTTACAAAGTAAAGACATTCTCTGTCCATCTTAACAAAATTCCAATTAACTTCACTAAAAGATAGTGGAACTGATCACGTGCAAAACCAATTTGAGTTTCGAAGGAAATGAAAGGTGGTCCAAACCATGATTATCATGAGAAACAGCGGAAAAACTCCTGTCATAGTGAGATTTCTTTATAATTTTGTCTGGTCTCCTTTGTTTCCTTTTTCCTTTTAACCAAGAAATTCTCGATAACCAATGAAGCATGTTCAAAATTGGTGGATAACGGCCACTCTACCCCTTCACTTAAATACCAAGCTTTTGCCTGGGGTAACGTGACGTACGCCTAACCACACATCACGCCTTTTACCACACATCAATAAAGTCGCTAATGCAGAACTCGGCAAGGCAGTGATCTCCAGTGAAAGGAACACAATCAACGCACAGGGCACTACGGGAGGGGAGTCACACACATACCGAGAGCTTGGAGAAAGTGCAAGAGGACACGTGGAAGGCTAGATTTCAAATTTTAAAAATAAACCGGCACTTGGAATTATCCAGTCCTAAGGAAGAAACAATATTGGGTTCAATAAGAACCGAAACAAAGAACCATGGCCATCAAATAACATTGATAAGCGAGTGAACCAAAATAGACAGGTAATCCTAATACATGCCCAAATGAGGGGCAAGGTATAGCGAACTGTGGCAAACGAGGATTGGGCTTGCAATAAACTCAAGTATTTCCTTAATTTAGCCCAAAAATTTTTCATCTGAATCCTACTTGGACCCAATCGACATTAAGATACAAGTCCAAGCGTATGATTCTTCGGTAGAAATGTTGCCCACTATTCTGATAGTAAGGCATACCCTAGCAATGAGGACGATGATGCTGACAAAGAAGAGGAAGGCTTTGAACAAGAAGGGTCATATTTAGGGGGGTCAGAGCCCATCTTGGAGGAATGTAATACAGAAATTTCACTGTCTGAGAGTGAATTATCCATGACCATCTCAGAAGCACCTCTCCTCCCATGGTATGGCAACAACCATACGATACCGGAAAAGTATCACTCGTCATCGAAGTTCCAACATGGGTCAGAAGGAATTTATTGAAAGTGAGTAAACAATTTTGGGGGGA